TATTATTTTACAACAATATAGTGTTCATATAGCACAGACACATCAAGCAATTTAAACCAACAGAAAATAAATTCTCAAAAGCCAGTAAAATAAGCATGAAGGAATCATCCAAGGACTCCCTGCAGCAATTATTTCCTTTTCCCCCTTCTATAACCTGTGAGCAAAATAATGCTTTAATATCAGATATAACTAATAGGGAAAATAATTTTTTTTTTTTTTTAAAAAGAGAATTAATTGAAACTTAGAAATCAAGACCATAAAATAGTAATTAGGCTCACATGAACAAAGCAGAATAATGATAATTTTGGCAAGGAGAAATGGTGATTTCTAGTATGGGGGTGGAGGATAGTATGGGGGCTTGTAGACATATGGTGGCGGTGGTGATTTGTAGATGTATGGGGGAGGAGGCGACTTGTAAATATAAGGGGGAGGCGGTGGTGACTTGTAGATGTATGGAGGGTACCAGGGCTCATGATGATGGAATGGAGGGGGTGACTTGTATTCATAAGGTGGAGGTGGTGACTTGTAGATGTATGGATGATGGTGGTGGTGATGGTGTGGAGGTGGTGGTGACTTGTAAACATATGGAGGAGGTGGTGGTGATTTGTAGATATAAGGAGGCGGCGGAGGGGATTTGTAAACATATGGAGGTGGTGCACCATAATCATCTGCAGCTACATTGTTGAAAATCAAGCAGGATGCCAAAGCACAGACAACAAGTGCCCAAATGTTGGCCATTTTAGCTAGGCACCTCGCAGCTTTGGCACTTTTACGTCTACATATAATCAGAGAAACCCGAAATTTATAAGCAGAAGACGGGAATTGTTTAATGGTGCACGAAGCTTCCTTCCTCTAACGAATTCGTTAGTTTTTATCTTCATATATAGTTTTTTCATTTGATTACGAATTGATAATGATATTTCTACTGCCCCGTTCACGACTCTCTAGTGTGAACAGTGGAGGCAGTCAAAGCAACTATGTATATAAAAAGATTGAAGATAAACATTACAATTTGAGAAAAACGGGAAATCCTTAATTATATTAATACAGTTTATCAACTACATATATAAAAAGATTGACGATAAACATTATAATTTGAGGAAAGAGGAAAATCCTTAATTATATTAATACGGTTTATTTATCATATGCTTAAGGGTACAAGATAAAAAATAATTATTGATTAATAATTATTATTTAATTAATTTAAAAATATTAAAATTAATTTTAATTTTATTTATATATGTCATGCATTAACTTTTTATAAATTTATTTTAGATTAAAAGTTAAAAATTATTTTTTAATTTAAAATTTCATATTTTTTAAAAATATCACAATTATTACTCAATAATTAATAAGAGATCTGAAGTGTAACCTGGGCAGGGTACTCTTATACCAGGTCAAGGTATATATACAGGCAGCGTTTGATGAAAATTTTCTTTTACCGAAAAATTTGATGAATATTATATATTTTTACTTGAACATCATGTGGGTGGTTGTTTTGGTGAATATTATATATTTTTACTTGAACATCATGTGGGTTGTTTTTTTTTTTTTTTTTGGGCAAAATAGATAATAATTTGTTGTTTTACAGCTTACTGAGGTGCTGATTGTGCATTTTTAGCAAAGCTGACCGAATTCTCACTTCTCTT